AAAAACACGCCGACACTTTGTTAAACAAGCCATTAACCAAAATATATACATGTATATAAAAAAAAGATATTAGCAGCCTTGAGACTGTATATTAATAAGAAACAACCTAAATCCAAACATGAACTATGATACCAGTACTTGATACCAGTAGCTTTCGCATAGCAAACTGTCCTTATCTTCTCTCAACACAATGAAACTGGAGGTAGCAATACTAGCAGCTGTGGTTAACCATTAACTCTGAATTACACTGACAACACTTTAGAACATTATTGTATCTTTATGGATATTAATCCCAATGCAAAAATTGCATTCATAGTCAGAGACCAAAAACTCCAACCGAATCTACTTCTGCTATTTTTAAAGAATTAACAGTAATTCAATCAAACCCTCTTAGGAAAAATATTAACTGAAGCAGTCGTCTAGCTGCCGTTTTCAACCCTTTTAGTTTTAGTCAGGGTTGAAACTAGAACGGAACATAAGATTAGTTTCGGTTTTCCTCCTTTTCTACTACAACTGGAGAGTTTCAAATTCTGGGTGTTCACATAATAAACTGGACTGAGCTCATAACACCGACGCCCTGTTCAAGAACGGCCAGAGCCGCCTCCACCTCCTGAGGAGGCTGAGGTCCTTTGAAGTGAGCAGGCCCCTGCTTAAAACCTATGACTCTGTGGTGGCATCAACCCTCCTCTAAGCTGACATCTGCTGGGCCCCTGGCAGTCCAGAGCGGGACAGAAAGAGACTGAACAAACTGGTGAGAAAGGCCAGTTCTGTCCTAGTCTGCACTCTGGACTCAGTGGAGGAAGTGGCTGAGAGGAGGGTGCTGTATACGCCTACATCCATCATGGAGAACACCTTTCACCCTCTGCATTAGAGTGTAGAGGAGCTGTGCACCTCCTTTAGTGAAAGACTTTTACACCCTGTCTGTAAAAAGGAGCGCTACAGCAGGTCATTCATACCTGCTGCAACCAGACTCGACAATGCGACACTACAACAAGCAATAACTTGTGCAATATCTAATGTGCAATTACTATTTAATACCCTGTG